AGATCAATATCAGCAAGTTGAATAGGTCTGTCATTCATTTCCTGGCAGTTGGCAGAATATCTGCCTCAATTTATAGACATTATTGGTCATTTTTCCCCCTCTCAGCTTGGTATTTATTGGTCTCTAAAGCAGTCGCAGATGACACCTTATATCACTATGTTATTTCTGTCATCAATCATTTTATTGTGTTGATGTTGATAATAAACAGTGGCCGAGGTGGTTGCCATTGGTGATACAGTCAGTTGTTGATTAGATGCCATAAATTGACTATACCTCTCACCAAACAGATTTCCTTCAGGGATAATTTCTTGGCCAGAATGTTAAAGCTAGCAGTAAGGCTAAACATTTTTACCTTCAAGATGTGAAATAAGTTAGACTATAAATGTGGTTCTTGAAATCAGCAAGACATTTTTCCCTCCAGGGAGACCTATTTTGAAGCTGATTATTTGAATAAAATCACAGATAATAGGATAGTAAGGAAAAATACCCAGCCGTGTTCATAATTAGTTGACCATATTCCCAGTGCAGACCCAAACGTTGTTACTTAATGTAATTAAACAGAGAAACATGTGCTTTAATAAACACCCCTAATGCATATGCAATGCAAATTTGTGCTGCTTATTTTTGTCTTTTCTTTGTGATAGTGAGATCTTGGGGTTTTCATGAACTGTATTTTTATTATCACAGCCTCTGTTGGGTTGATATTTGAGTATTTTTTACTAGGAATTACCTTCCTTTTTAGGTATCATTTGGTATGATACCAGTAGCTGCCGTCTCTCTTAATCATTGTGGGAATATCTGAGATAGGGCTGTGTTCCAGGCATGACCCAGGGGTGAGACATCAGTGCCAAGAAGGTTTTAGCAGGTTACCACAGCTGCAGGAGGATGTCTGTCTGTCTGTCCAGCAGATCTCTTGTCTGGGGAAGATCTCGGAGAAAAGGCTATGCAGAGGGAGTTGTAATAGAAACAACCCAGACTGATTTGAATGCTCCTTCATGCAACCTCTCCTGAGGTTTCAGCCGACCTCTGAGGTCAGTCCAGCCAGGGTCCAGAGTGGCCCTGCAATGTGAAGTTGCTCAGAGTTAATGGATCTGGACCTTAGGATTATATAAACCTTGGATTGAATACTGGTTCTGTCTTTTATTAGGAATATGACTTAAGCTCTTAGAATTTCCATTTTCCTATATGCAAACTATATGAGAAAAAGTTATCTCTTTTGTAGTGTTTTTCTGTGAAGGATAAATAAGATACTGTATATCTAATAGACTATTTTGTGTTTAGGAGATTGCAAGGAATGCTATTATTATTAAAATTATTGCAGTTTGAATCACTTTCCCAGAATTCCCTGGCACAAGACTGATATTAATTTTTGTGGGTCTTTTTCTCAGCTTTCATCAACGTGATGTTTGGTAGGTGTGCATTACCTCTGTTAGATAAAAATATAGAGGTAATGTATTCCTGTCTTGATATGTATACTTAAAATTTACTAATACCTATTTCCTTCTCCAAAGTTTATCACATAAAAGAATTTATTGTATCTTGAAGAATGATAAAGTAATAGCAAGCTAACAGTGAACAATTATTTATTATTTGCTATGTAAAATTACCATTTTAAGTAGACATTGTGAAGGTCCAAGAGATTATAAAAGAGTCTGTCCTTTACAAAGTGTCCATGTATTTGGAAAGACATAATATATTTATAAAGAGACACTAAATCCTCAAGTTGGAAGTAAAGTTCAAATGAATAGCATAGATAATTATTCCTTTTTTTAAAAAAAAGATTTATTTATTTATTTATACAAGAACTGGGGTACAGACCAGATGCAGGAGGGTGAGAGGATTCACCAGAGGCGAGTGGGGAACAGAATAGGCAGACTGACGAAATACACTGCTAAGGGGAGCAGTGGGCGCAACAGGAGAGGTCTGCCATGCCATGTGGGACCCTCGCCGGCCGGGATGGAACTGGCGCTGCAAAGGCTGCGGACAGCTTCACAACGTGGCGTTCAACTGACTTCGCCGCCAGGGGAGGCCCTAATTATTATTAATTCTACCTTTTCTCTCACTGTCACATCCAGTCTGTCACCAGGACACTGTTCTGCTTCCAGACTATATTTCAAGTCCATCCTATTCTTGCCATCTCTATCATTTCCTGTCAAGTTCATCTTCTGTCTGTTAGGCTACTGCCCTAGACCCTAACTGATCTCTTTCTTCTTGCTCCTATTCTCCCAGCCAGCCTCCACCAACAGTCAAAATAGTCTCTTAAAAATCTAAATCAGATTATTTCATTCCCCTTAAGTAAAATCCAAGTTCTTTCCCAAGGTTCTGTACGACCTGGTCCTGCATTTCTTTCCGCCTTCATCTCATGCCATTCTCCTTGCTGACTCATTGTTTTTCCTTTCTGGAACACAGCAAGAGCTCACATCAGAGACTTTGTTGGCTGTTTCATTCAATTGAAATGTTCTTCATCTCATCCTAAACATGAATGGCTCATTCATATCCTTCAGGTTTAAACTCAGATTTTACCTCTTCAGAGAGGTAAAGCCATTCCTGATCACCATATTTTTAAAAAGTCTTTCCCATCCTATCACCTTATCTTACTTCCTTCACAAATTCCTATCTTACTTCCTCCTTGCTTCCCACCACAATCTAATTATCTTGTTCGTATATTACTATGATTTTGTCTATTTACTCTCCCCCTGAGAGAGTGACCTTGCCCTTTTTTTTCTCACTGAAGTAGTGACTAGCGCAGTGTCTGACATGTGCTAGGTGTTCAATGAGTAAATGCATGAACAAATGAATATGGGTTGTAAAAGTTTAGAGGGAGAAGGGGCCCCTTTGTTAGTTATTGGGAAGGAGGTTGCTAGGTATCAATAAAAAAGAATATACCTGGAAGAGAAAGGTGTGAGCAAGGGAGGGGACTAAACTGAAATCCTATTGTAGGATTTCAGAGATGGAGCAGATTTTAAGAGGCAGTGGTTGTAGGGAGCATGGATCCAACTCCTGGCTCTCACATAACTACCTATGTGCTTTTGTATGTTTATTTAACATATTTGAACCATCTTCATCTATAATACGGAAAAATAATCCCCTCATGGAGGCTTACTATGAGTAGTAATGATTTATATTTACAGCTCTACTGGGGTGAATATGATGATAAATAATAGCCATTCATTAAAGATTTAATTTAGATTCTCAGTTGAGCATATGCCAAAATATAAAATTTGAAGTTTCGTATAATTTGGATGCCAAGAATCCATCTCACTATGTTATTACTCATTCAGAAGAATTTCTTTGGGTAGAGGTTGGGTGGGGCTCCAGCGTGTGTATTTTTCAAAAATTCACCAGGTGATTCATATGTACAGCTATTGTTAGGAACCATGTGTTTAAACCATGCTGGAGACCGCTCTGAACATCTCTGGCCAAGTACTGCCCAACTTGAGTAGCTCTGTGGTGGGAACTCACGGAGCCACGGGTCTTGGTTGCCTACCACTGGGCATTAGCCTGAGCCTTTGAACCTTAATTCCCAAAGACCATGCTATTGATCTCTTATCAACATCCAAATTAATATTTTTGATATTAATAAAAAAAATCTTGCAGTTGCAATAAAAGCTACCATGCTATCCATTTTTCTTGGTCAACTTACTTAGATGCCAATTTGGTTATCTTCCCTTTAGTATCTGCATCTCCCCTATCCAGCTGCCTGGCACCACCCCCCCCCCCACAAACCTTTTCAATGCGCTGATTATATTTCCAGCTTCAAGGTCCATAAACTTGTATCATCAATCTCTTCATGGATGTTCCCCCTACTTTTCTGCTGTAACTAACCCCTGGCTTAACCTAGATGTTTTGGATGTCAGCAATGACTGGGCAACTTATGAAACATTAACCAGCTGTTCGGTTGGTTGCTCATGTACACACAAATATTCTCATGTCTTGGATTATTTTGGGTTGGTAAATATGTCCAAAGGTTTGATGCTGGGAAAACACAATGAGGCCCAAGGTGTCTCATGTCTGGTAAACATGTATGAACAGAGAACAAATCCCATGAGCAAACATGGGACTTGAGAGGTAGACAGAGGTGGAGGTGGGAGGTTCATGAAATGACCACCTCATTCCAGTCCCATAACTGCACATTTTTTGCATGTACTGACCAGAGATAAACTCTGTTTTTTAAAAATCTCAGAGTCAAGCTACTGGCCAGGTGGGTAAAACTCTTCTATTGAGGGTCTTATACTAACTCCAGTGACAACAGATGAAATGGTGCTTGGGAGATCTTGCTTGGGGAATTAACTCTGGGGTCCTACAACAGACTCAGCATCCATAAGGGCTTGAAGAACTGTGCAGTTTCATCAAGTCTACCAACTCAATGTCAGAAGCTCATTTAAGAGAAAACACCTAATTGGGGGCCTCCCAGGTGGTGCAAAGGGTTAAGTCTCAGTACTATGAAGCAATGTGCAACAAGAGTTCAATCCCCGCCAGGGAGCTGACCCACATGGCACAGCAGACCTCTCCTGTCTTGCCCGCTGCTCCCCTCAGCAGTGTGTTTCAGTCAGAGTTCTGTTCTGTTCCCCACTCAGTGTCTGCTGAATCCTTTCACCACCACCCCCACCTCTGGCCTGTACCCCAGTTCTTGTATGCATCAATAAATAAATCTTAAAAAAAATAAATTAAGGTACACAGTAAAGGCTACCAGAAAATCTTAATATTTGAAAGAAACCCGAGATGAACTATTTCATTGACTAAAAAATCTTTATAATGTAAATGATCTCATAATTAGAATATTTTCTGTGTGCATATCTGTAAAGTTATGAAAGTCAGACATCCCTCTTCTGCTTCCCAATAGTCTTACATACCTGCAGTTGGATTATTTAATGGGGCTCGTATTTTCTCTTTGTTCACATGAGCAAACTCTATCATTACTAAATGTTTGTTTCTAAAATACTGATTATAGGGGCAGAAGCTGGGGGTCACACCTAAATCTGTGCTGCTTCCCATTACAGAGGTCAGCTGCGGCCGCCCTCCAGAAGTGCCACACGCCATGCTTGTGGGGAATCCCAGCTCCCGCCTGGGCAGCGAGGCTCAGTATGTCTGCCAAGAGGGCTTCGAGAGTCCTGGAGGAAGGATCACTTCTGTCTGCACAGAGAAAGGCACCTGGACAGACAGTACTGTGACATGCACAGGTATGGACTCCATTCTGCTGGGCTCCCTACCTAGAAGCAAAGCCATCAGCACAAAGAACATAAAGCCCTTCTATTGTCTTGCTGTCCGTACCTGTGCCTGGTGGTGTCACGTATGCTGGTGGACACCTGGCTTTAGGTTTGTCGGCTATATCCTGAAGATTTAGGGGGTGATTTTAAGATAACTTAGAAAATTTTGTGCATCTGTCTTTTGAAATTCACCTTAAATCATAGCAATTCCTGGTTTCTCTGCTTGGCTGGCTGAGAGATTTTTCTCCATGAACCATTTTCTCAGGGGGATACACTTAAAAGTCCTAACTTAGTACTGTTGACAGTTTTTCAGAGCAAAGGCGATGATGAAAAAGAGTTTTTTAATGTTTATTTAATTGTGGCAGAGTACACACAACATAAAATTTACCATCCTAACCATTTAAAAGTGTTAAAGTATACTCACATTGTTGTGCAACCAATTTCAAGAGCTTTTTCATCTTGCAAAACTGAAACTCTAGACCCATGAACAACCCCGCACCCCCTCATCCAATCATCCGCCGATGGACATTTGGGTTACTTCCACTTTTGATGGCTGTGATGAATGCTGCTAGGAATATTAGCACAGATATCTTTGAGACCTGAGACCTTGCTTTCAATTCTTTTGAATATATACCCCCAGATGAACTTACCTGTAAAAAAGGAGTTCTGAGTTCATATTCTAGTAGTACTATGTATTAACAGTGTGTCATCAGGGAAAGCATTATTCTCTGGAACCTCTATTTCCTTGTATACAAAAGGGGAAAAGTAAAGCCTGCTTTTCCTACTTCAAAGAGTTGTTGAGGGGCCTCCCTGGTGGCTTAAGGGGTTAAGTCTCAGCAGCACTATGAAGCTATCCACAGCTACTGCAGCAGCCTCTGCAGCATGAGTTTGATCCCTGGCCAGGAAGCTGACCCACATGGTGCAGCACACCTCTCCTGTCTCACCTGCTGCTCCCCTCAGCAGTGTATTTCAGTCAATCCGCCTGTTCTGCTCCCCACTCTGTCTTTAGTGAATCCTTTCAACCTCCCGCTCCTTTGGCTTACAACCCAGCTCTTGTATGTGTAAATAAATAAATCTAAAAAAAAAAAAAATGTTGTTGAGAGGAAATCAAAGGAAATCATCTGGTGGAGCATTTTGAGAAATTTAAAGCACCATATGCATGGCAGGTTTTAACTTCAAGCCTTGCTTGAAGGGCTTCTCATGAGTCACAGTGGATACTTCCAGAAGCACCTCTCCTTTCAAGAAGCAAGGCAGAAAGGCAGTGGGTCTTAGCATTTGTGATGGTAGGTCAGTGATCACCGCGTGGTCTTCAGTGACTCTGGCAATATATTCTAGACGTTGACTTGCTTGGCTCTGAAGAGTGAAATCTCAAAGTAACCTTGTTTTGACTTCTGCAGAATTAGGGTAGAATATCTTGGGTCTTGCTGGTCAGAGTTCTATACAGAAAAGTCTAGCCCATGCAAACAAGGCATGTGGATTAATGGTGGTCATTTGCTCACAGAGCTGGGCTTCATAACCATGTTGGGGGTAGGAATTTGTTGAAAGCTGTGATTTCATTTAATAAATAACTGTTTAGGACTTACTAGGTATCTATGTGTAAGGTACTTTTCTAGACACTACCTTCTTGGGATTTACAGAACAATAGGGCAAATAGACCTTCCTTCAAAGAAATGTATATACACACATACAATCTTACAAATTCAAGGTGTTCATGGACCTCCAAAGTCCTTGCATAAATCATGCCTGGAGCAGATGGAGAACTTATTTCTGCTGCTAAGGCCCTGTCTGTGCCACACAGACATCTTAAGTGCAGGAGGATGCAGGCTAGAGACCAAGGACAGGACCAAAGGCGGGAAGACATGCATGAGAATCCAGAGATCTAGTTCAGCCTTCTCTCAGGTCTTAGTGACTTGCCCAACATGTGCAGAGACGCAAAGGCAAACCTGTAACTAACATCGAGAACTCCAGAGTCCCAGTCTTAGTAATTGGAGAAATTAAAAAGAACTAATGCCATATTGTATCAGACTGATGGACATTCCCACCTTTTATTGCATCTCTAACAGAACCTCTTTGAGTTATTTGGAGGAATCGAGGCAGCTGCCTCATGGGATGTTGAATTTAACATTTGGGGCCATGTTCCTGGCCTAGAGCTACCCTCTGAGGCCCCTTGGAAAGAGCTGGGCACAGCGTCTGGACCCTGAGCCATTAACTGTGTGGCTCAAGCTGCTCTGCCCTCCACTGTTCAGAATTCAGTGGGGGTACAAGGATTAGTCACTACATGAAAAACCAGTGGATCTGCATGGGGCAGAGTAAGCTATTAATTAGCTGATGCTTGTAGAGCACTTTGAAGAACAAACATGTTATGTAACTGCTAATTATAATTACCGTCCTCAGCCTGCCACCTTTCACAAAGTCTGGGGCTCCAGCTGCAGCTGTTCCATGGGTTTGTGCAAGCTTTGATTTAAGGAGAGAAAAGGCATTCTCCCTGAGAGCTGTGATCTTTCTGTGAGGAGGCCTCTATGCCCTCAATCAAGATTGGCAGCTAAATTCAATTTCCGCAGATAAAGGGGGTGATTTACATGCTGATTAATTCATGGTGCAGTGCACATGATTTCTGGGTGGGTAGGTAGGCAAGGCTTCTGGAAGTGTAGTGAGCGATTGCTGATTACCATAGCTCTTGCCCGAGTGCCCCCTTCTTTCTTCATTTCCCTGTGTTTTACCCATTTCTTCACACCTCCTTTCTCCCAGTTCCCTCTGTGTATTTGTGTTTACCTTCCTCAATGTTCACTTTTGCCCCTCTCTTCTGCATTCCTGCTTACCCTGTGAATGCCTTCTACCTCTCTTCTCTTTTACCCTGTCACCCCTCTTTCCACACTTGAATGTTCAGTTCCAAACTGGGTGGAATAATTTATTTTCACCTGGATTGTTTTTTGTTACCTAAAAACATTTCTTCCTGCCCTCTCTCTTCGCATTAGTAGTGCAGGTCTGTCTATGTTTTTCATGGAGTGTGAACTCTGGCAAGGTGGTGGGACTTTTTTTTTAAAGGCCAGTTTGGACTGGAAACTCCAGACAGCTGAGAATTAGGCAGCCACTTTAGTGTCTGGAAAAACCCCAGGTGGAAGCTTGATGTTTAGTGAGTTGGTTTGCCTTAAGATCAAAGAGGCTGATTCATTCTTGATAAGCTTGTCCCTGGCTTTCATTCTGCACAGGTCATTTGGCTTTTTATGTTTAGAATCTGAGTTAATAATTATAAGGTTGACACTCACTCCCTCTATGTTCTCAGAAGGGTAACATCTCTGTTGAAACACAGACTGTTTATCTGCTGGGATCCTTTCTGATCCAGCCCCCTACCCTGACTCGGCTGTTGAGTTCAGTTGCTTCCAGGCCTCCTGTTAGCGATTTTCTTGTTCATCCTCCTCTTCAGCTCAGTGAGTGGTCATGTGCCGCTGCATGCATTTCAGATGGAGAAGAAAGGTCAGCTGGAATAAATGGACACATTTATATAAATAGCCACATGGCTGGGATTTCTTTGATAACATATATAATGTTTGTGCCACTGTTTGGACCGTCAAGCATGGTAGTTAATGTTGATTGAACCCTGACTTCCGTGCTCAGCTCCTTTTCATTTTGTCTTCAGAAAAGCCCTGTGAAGTTGGTATTGCTATTTTCATTTCCTAGATGAGTAATCTCAGACTCATAAAAGTTAAGCAACTTTCACAGGGTCATTGAGTAACAAATGGTAAAGGCAGGATTTGAATTCAGATCTGAACCCTGCACGCCCACTGTCTCTCCACTGCAGTGTTTCCCAAACTTGAGTTATTGTTCACCACCCTGACAGTGTTTGCCATAATGAAAGCATTATTTATTTAATGTTTCTGACAACAGCTTATTTTGAAAACTTATAATTTACGTTTTGCTGTCAAGTGAGAGTGATCAAGGACACTTTGTAACGTGCATGATATCTTGAATGCGTTGAACAAGGTCTGGTTTTTCTAATATACACAAAACTTTCAAGGAAACAGACACTCCTTCAGATCTTCTCTTTCCAGGCAGCTCTCTCTCAGTCAGTCTCCCACCTCTCATCTGCCTTCTCTCCTAGTTTCCCCGTGGGTCTCTGTGCTTCCCAGGGCTCTGTCAGGGATGCTTTCTATGTCCCACCTGGATTTTCACCTGTAGCCCTGGTTTCAGCTGCCGTCCACACACTGACGACTTTTAAGACTGTTTTTTCACCTGGGTAGTCTGTAGATAACTCTGCTTTAGCATGTTCTAAATGCTACTCACAGGTCTCTTACCCACCGGTCAGCTTCCTCCTTCCCTCAGGAGGACAGTAAAAAGGCAATCCATTCATACTCTCAAGCTCCAAAACTGGCAGTCAGCCTGGTTGTTTCTTATCTCTCACCAACTATGGCTTCTCCTTCAGAATTGTGTCAGGGTTTTAGATGCAGTGTCCTTGTTTCATCTCGTCACCTCTTTGCTGAAAAGCTGCATTAATGCTTAGGCTCTTCGCTTTGAAATTTAACAGAGCTGATTTTGAATCTGACTTGACTGCTTTCTAGCTGTGTGGCCCTTGGCTGGTCACTTGTCTAAGTCTCCGGTCTACAAAATGGACACAATAACAGCTTGCTTGTGGGATTATTGTGAAACTTAAATAAATAATACTTTAAAAGCAGTATACATACCATCTAGTTCATAATAACAACTCAATAAATGTTCACTTATTATTGTTTTTATTATTGTTCCTTGTGTCTGCTGTTATGATGAGATCAAGGCTATACAGACCTATCAATGCTGGGCACACTGTAATCAGTAAGAGGCAGGGAATTCTTGCCTTGTGTCCTCCAGTTCTTTGATACTCCAGTGCCCCTTTCAAAAGCCACCAGTTATTCTGAAAACATGTCCCCATCATGTTCCTGCTTTAGCTGTCTGTTGCTTATTGGGCTAAGTCTGCACCTAGTCTGGCAAGGGTCTCTCCCTGTCTGACCCTGAGCCCCCTCTGCAGCCTCACTTTCCATTTTTCCTCCTCCACGGTGGTCGTCTTCCCATCACTCTGACTGTGCACCCTTTCCAGTTCCAGGCCTTCCACCTGTTGGCGGTCTGCTCCCACATCTTCCCCATTTGTTACTTTTCACCCATTAAGGTCACGTGTCCTGTAAAATCAGCTTCCCAGGGTCCTCCAGTGAAGGCTGGTGGCTTCTTTCTTATACCTGTGGTGCTTGAGTGTAGCTTTGTTCTCGTACTGAGTTGTAATTTACCTGCTTATGTTTGCTCCCTCCATCGGATACAGGATAAGTACTTCCCTGTTCTCGAGGGAAGTACTTAGGTATGGTCATGGCACAGCCCATTAGGTGCCTGGCTAGGTTGACACTTGGCATTCACTGGTCATCAGTTAATGGTGAAGGGTAAGTCAAGAGTCCCAGAGTCAGCTCCAAAGAGAATGTTCAGAAACGTTTCCATTTATTGGTACTATTGGAATAGGGCATGACCTCCCAAGTCATCTCTTTTAAAAGGGAAGCATTAATGTGGATGTTTAGTATTTGACATGTTTATAAAGACGGCTTTCCAGCTGATTTGTGGACACCTGGAGGGAATGGCAACCAAGGTTTGTTAACCACTTCTTGAGATGCAATATCTGACATCCCTGTAATCAGATCTGGGTTCCCATCTGTGCAGAGAGCATAGCACAGCCTGAGACAGATGGCACTTTTGAGATGTCATTTGCAGTTGTCATAGTGAATGAGCGAAAAGGAAGGACAAGAAAGGAAACTTCCATATCTGTGTCTCCTTTCTTATCTCTGCTGGGTGACTAAGGGACCTCAAGTGAGAAGGAAATTTGCTTTCTGGCAACCTCGAAAGCAGGTGAAGGGCAGGCTGTTTCCCTTTCCTTCTCAATCAGTGGTGAGTGTCAGAGGCTGTGTGAGTGGCCAGAGTCCACACCCGAGGCCTTCACAGGGCAGTGGAGAGAGGAGGAGGGCCCAGGAGTATATGGGGTTTATTCCAGCTAATCAAGGACGCATGCCAAAATCAACTTTATGAATCGATATGTCTTTGCAGCTCTTCGGGAACCCAAGTTTACGGGAGTTTTTCTTTGGTTTCATGAGGTCTGTGCTCTGAGAGGAATATTGATGTAGAAGCCCAGGAGTGCTTCAGACAGACCTTCTAGTGTTTATTCAGAAGTTTGCCTGTTTTCCTCTGTCTGCCTCTATTTATTCTCACAGCCTGATAGATGACCTGGGCTTACCTAGCACCGGATATCGTGGGACATAGCCTCTCAGCTGTGCTGCTGCGGGAGTAATGTAGTACAGATGTAAATCCTCCTCTGGAGAAAGAGGCCAGTGGACAGGGTCTTTGTAGAGGAGGCACAGTTCAAGTACAGGAGGAGTGAGCCACCTCCCCAGGTGCCAAAGGTAAAGGCTCCCTTTTCCACTTAGAGGTTGGAGAGATTTGCTGGAAGGGAGGGGCGGGAACTAGGTTGAGGAGAACCATTTTCTGAGATGGAGTTTTCTTTCCCACTCCTCTTGCTGGGACTCTTACCTTGGGTTTTCCAGAAACAGACCCAGAGGCAGAGGACTTACATGCATTACAAATAGAGAAGGATGTCCCAGGAAGCAGGCTTTTGGGCTAAGGTGAGTGAAGTGGGAGGGAGCAAGAGCCAAGCAAAGGTTGCCTGGTTATGCTGTGTGCTCAGTGCCCGGGGTCCTCTGTCTGTGCAACAGACCCTGAAAGGTCTTTGCAGCCTGCCCTTCAGGGTAAAGAAAGGGAGGATTCATTATCCACTGGGTGTTTGTTCCCCTGCACTTCTAGGTGTGGGTGCCCTCGCTGTGAAGCTCCAGAATCAGAGACAATATAGTCATATTATCCAAGCAGTGCAGGGCTGGTAGCAGGCGCAGGTGAGGTTGAGAGGCTCAAAAAACTCTGGTAGGGATGTCTGATTCAATGGGAAAGCCTGACTTTGCACTGTGGTGAAATGAGGGAATGAAGATTCCTTCCTCCAGGGACAAGAGAATGGTAGCTTCTATTTGCAGGGAATTTTAATGCCCTTCAATGGTATTTTAAGCAAATTGGTTTTTTAAAGTTCAATTTTGAATTGTTCCTCCCTTGCTTAAAAATACAGTGAACTATGATGGAAGACTGTGGTGACTTGGTGGTAAGTACGGTGTGGTGACATACATCTAAAGAGGTGTAATCCTGTGCTTCTGAGTCATATACAGTGTTGTAAACCAATGTTACAAAAAAAAAAAGTCCAATTGACGTTTTTGCACATGGATGCTAAATCCTGTAGCCTGGCTAAATTCCTTTCTTAGCTCCATTTTTTGGTGTGTGAAATTCTTAGGATTTTTTTTTTTAATAGAAAAAGATCATGCTAAGTGTAATTAGAGCTAGTTTTCTTATCTGTAGGAATTTGATTTTGAATGATTGAAAAGGTATGTCCTTGCTCTTTTCCCATCTAAACAACTTCCTGGGTGTTTACTAGGTTCACTGGAAGCTGCTACTCCCAGGAACAAAGACCTTCATATGGTTACCAGTATTGCCAAATCCATTGCATTGAGTATTCATGCAGAATATTTATTTAATATTATTATTATTTACATTTTAAAAGTCGGGTTTATTAGAAAAAAGGAGAAAGAAAAATAGAGGCACCTGCAAAGTCACAGGTGGGCAAGAGAATTGCCTTTTGCCAGTGCAGATATCGTCCTGATATTTTCTTTTAGTGCAGATATTTAAAAGAAGTAGAACAATGCAAAGAGATCTGTGGCCTCCTCATGATCAGGATTAAATGGTATCAGCTATAGGAGTCCCACAAGAATCGGGAGACTTGGTGAATTTTGTCACTTTGTCCCAAGCTGCTCCTGAGGAACAGTCTTGTGTGGTGATGTGTGTTCTTTTTCCTCAGGAACAGCAGTAGCCTGAATAAGAGTGCTCATCAGCTGGGTGGGGCCAGGAAACCAGGAGCAGATCTTACCTGTGTGGCTGCAGGCAAGATTCAGGGCTCACCTTGGGCCTCTTCCCATCCCACACTAGTAGGACTCCAGTGGCATCCAGTGGCCCATCAGGCCAAGCACAGGCTGGGATTCTCACCCACCCTCAATGTGAGGGTTGGGCGGGGGTGGGGGGGGTGGGGGTAGGGTGGGGGGTGGGGGTTGGTGGTGGTGGTTCTTTTCCTCTAAGCCAGACAGTGGGCCAGGCTCATTCATGATGAAGATAAGTTGGGTGATTGGCCTGGAGGTCTTGACTGGCCTGATTAGGTTTACGTATCAGAGCATGCATAGTGATCAGCAGAGAGCTGACCTGGGCAAACAAAGTCATGCCCTCCAATGTGGTCACCATTAGGGATTTTCCGAAGTCTGTTGAAGCATTTTTTGAGTGGACTCTCTGCTTTTCTATTTTAGAAATCATTATAGAAATTAATAATGTATCCGTGTTTAATAATACCTGTGTGAGGTGGCAAATCAATGCGGGAAGAATAAATCCCAAGATCACATATGTGGTAAGTATAGTGGTCTACTATTTCTTGCTAGGGCAGAAATGGTAACTGGTGGGAATATGGGGGGGCTCAGGGATGGGAACATGCTCCAGGAAAGCTTCTTAGTCAAATTGCTTTGTAGTCCCATCACCCTTTTAAAGAGTGTACAGAATTTTTCAGATATTGGATTATTTTATTTTGCATTTTATGTTTAATATCTTTGTCATTTGACAGGGTGTATGTGTGGGGATGTATTTGGCATCATCAATTATTGCTTGTTTAGAAGCACTTGAATTTCACTCCCCCCAGAGCCAGCCTGGAAGCACCTGCTGGCTCAGTGGCAGGATGCTAGGAGAGACTCTCAGTTTGTGCCACTGATATCTGGCCATTTGTCTGCAGAATAGCAGGCCCAGGCCTTCCCGGTGGCACAAGGGGTTAAGCACAGCACTGTGAAGCTATCCTCTGCAGCACGAGTTCAGTCCCCTTTGGCCAGGAACTACCCATATGGCACAGCAGACCTCTCCTGACTCACCTGCTGCTCCCCTCAGCAGTGTATTTCTATAGATCCACCTGTTCTGCTCCCCACTCTATCTCTGGTGAATCCTCTCACCCCCTGAACTCTGGCCTGCACCCCAGTTCTTGTATGCATAAGCAAATAAATCTTAAAAAAAAAAAGCAGGCCCCAGAGAGACTCCTCATTTTATGTCACGTCTTAGAGTTTATTGATTACTGAGCTGATCAGGCTTCATCATCAAATACCTGAAGGCAGAGGCTTACCCCATTGATCTCCCTGGGGTGAGCAAGGTGGTATAAAGGGAATGGTAGGAGAGGCTCCAGCATCACAAAGTTGCAGTTGTTTTAACTAGAGCAATGTGGCTTTCTTGTCTTTTCCCTGAAGATAAACATAAAAGGACAACAGTTGGACCCTGTGGAATCAGATCATAAGGAGACCCTCACCTTCACCACAGACAGCCAGACTCCAGAAGTGTGCCTGGATCTCTATCCAGGTACCAACTACACTGTGAAAATTTCCACCGCCCCTCCCAGGCGCTCCATGCCAGCCACCGTCGGGATCTGGACAGCTGGTATGTGGAGGTGAAGTCTCATTCTCTCCTAGGAAATGCTAAGCACAGGATGTGAGGAAATGCTTCAGATCAACTGGACAGGAGAGCTCATAGTTGCTTTCTGAGATTTGTAACCAGGGGGATGTAATTCTCTAGGTGCGGGAGTCAGGGTGGGTATGGGAGAGATTCCTGTCCGTTGGTGGCAGTTTGAACTGTAACTCTGCTGGGTCTTTCTTTAAAAACCTTCTGTTACCTTCCACTTCAACCAGAGGACAACATTAAGTGATGGTGAAGTTAGTCCTCCATTATCCAAGACAGTTAGAGGGTAGTCATGTGGTTTATCTTTGGTGGGAAAGTACCCAAAACTTTTCATCTAGGCTGGAAACTGCCCCCCAGGACTGATGGGGCTGGGCAATGAAGTGGAACGTGGGTGAGTGGGTAGGGAGTAAGCCCTAGGTTGCAGGAGGGAAGATAATGGGTGAAAAGGAGAGCGGACAAGAAGGAGCATCAAGTAGTAATGTATCTCATTGCACATAGTTACCACATGGATTTTTAGAATAACCTTGTGACAGATGCAATCAGTTTTTTTTTTCCATAACTCTGGTTTTCAGAAATACTCAAATACCTTATAAGCAAATCTTGAGAAGCCGTGATGTCATTTATCACTTAGAGGGAGTTGAGGTAGTTCCCAGTCAGCTATTTGATGTCCTACTTAAGGTATTCCTCAACTGCCACTAGAAATTGGAAAGTGACACAGATTTGGTAGAAATAAAGCAAAAAGAATTCCAATCTTAAAAATATAAGGCCAACTACAAAATTACACAAATTAGGTCCCTGATACTTGTTTATAAATAGAACAAAATGATTTCTTTCTAAGTAATATAAAATTAAAATGGTAACTAATTAGAGAAACTTGGTACAAAATTAGTAATAACAGTAAACTGTTTGGATTTATTAGGAATATGTCTTCTTTAAAGTTTGTCCCAGGATTTCAGACTCATCTGTCACTGTTCAGTCAGAGTGGTGGTTTTCTCCTAATATCTGATTACTTCTTTGGGTTAATCTCCATTGGCAAATGCATGGTCTTTGGGGATCAGACAGACCTGGCTTTGCTTTTTAACTCAACATCGAAGAGTTGAGTGACCATGGCTGAGTTTTTTAATGTTCCCCAACATCTTTCCTCTCTCTGAAATCTAGTGAGAATTGTGATTTCTATGGAGTTGTCATCCCAGGAGGGGTCAGAATGTGTTTTTGTCTACTCACCATCCACTTAGTTTTGTCTTTGCTCTCTGCTCTTGTAAAGATTTGCCATTCTCTTCCTCTGGATCCTGCACATTTGGGTGTCTGATTCATTATCACAGTTGTGTTGGTTCTTTGAAAACAATTGGGAGGACCTCCCTGCTGGCCTAGGCGTTAAGCACTATCACCTTTTAGTCTGAGTTTGATCCCTGGCCAGGGAGCTAACTCAGATGTGGCACAGCAGACCTCTCCCCTTATCAGTGTATTTCAGTACATCTGCCTGTTCTGCTCCCTATACTGTCTCTGGTGAATTCTCTCATCTCCACCCAATACCCCACACCTCTGGCCTACACTCCAGTTCTTCTCTGCATAAATAAATATATGAAAAGAAAGAAAATGATTGGGAAGTTTTCCATATTTTTTATGTTCTGAGAAAGTTTATGCCACTTTGGGATTATCCACTTCCTTTAAAGCTGGACATATTTGCTCATAAGATCATTTTATTTTCACCTCTTGTAGAAGATAATTCTTTGATAACATTGTCAATATCTTCTTTAGTTTTTTTTATGCCAGTATATGATTCCTACGTTTCCTTCAGTCAATTTTTTTTTTTTAAATAGAGGCATGTTTTATTTATTTAGTTTGTTTGTTTTGTTTATACATGCACTGGATACAGTCAGAAGTGCGGGAGGTTGAGAGAATTCACCAGAGCCAGAGCAGGGAGCACAGCAGGCAGAAGGACCGAAGTACACTGCTGAGGGGAGCAGTGGGCGGCAGGAGAGGTCTGCGCGCCATGTGGGACCCTCCTCCGGTGGCCGGGGAGCAGCCGGGGATCGAACCGGCGCTGCAGAGGCCGCGGGCAGCTTCACAACCCAGCGCTCAACCGCTGAGCCACCTGGGAGGCCCTCCTTCAGTCAATTTTTATAATTTATATTTTCCTAAAAATGTCTGGTTGAAATTTTAAAATACATTGACTGACTATTATGTGGAATATTTATTTGCAATTCCTCCTGGGTTATAGGTTATATAACCCCAGGTTATTCTGATTCCTAATTTTGTTTTTCTCTTTCTTTATAAAAATTGATTTACTTTGCTCGGGTTATTTCTGTTTTATTACTGTTCTTTTCTCCAAGGAATAAACTCTTGGGTTTAAAAGTTATTTTTCTTTTTCTATCTCATTAATTTCTCCCCTTATTTTTATTATTCCCTTCCCCCAGATTCTCTTAAATTATATTGTCCTATTATTAAATTCTTGAATGCACAATTCGACATCTTTCCATTCTTTCTTGTTTGATAGTAAAAGTCTTTATTGCTTCTTTCTCCCTTCCGGATGTGTGCTTTGGCACGATTCCTCAGGCATTGATACGTGTTCTTTGTCTTTATTTTCAAGGCATGATATAATTGCTATTCTGATTTTCCCTTTGATTGTTGAATTATTTGTGAGTGTGTTAATATATGTTCTCGTTATCCTTACTTTCAAAGCACTATATAATTGCTATTTTGATTTCCCCATTGATTGAAGGATTAATTATATGTTACACAAGTAGTAGTTTTTTTTAACATTTACACTTCATTGTTAATTTCTGGTCTTTTACATTTTGGTATTCTTTGGGGGGATTTATTGACATTTTCTTAGGGCTTACTATTTGGTTAAATTTTGTGATCATAAAGTAGAGGGTATCTATATTTATCCATCACTTCTGTTTTTTGTTGTTTGCTTAATTGTATTGCTGTTTTTCTCAGTTCCTCTAAGAAATTTAATAGTTTTGTTTCACACTTTGATATGATATTTATCTTCATGACTGTTAATTGTAGATTCTAATTTTCATGAATAACAATTGGTTCACTTTATCCTGTTAATTATATTTTGCTTGAATTATACTTTGATGGTATTGTTCATTTTCTTGATTTCTTTGTGCTTCTCTCGACATGATCTGCCTTTGTCTGCTTTAGTTCTTAAAAGTTATCTGGATAACATTGCTTAGATGTACTCTAGGAAACAGCAGATGTGGAGAACCTTTTTTGGGCATACATCTTTTTTGAGTCGATAAATTAAGCAATTTACATTTGTGTTGTTGTGAAATGATTTTCCTGTCTTCTGTCATCATGTTATTTTTTTTCTCTTTTTGATATGATTTGGTAGCCCATTGCTTTCTATCTTTTTATATACCAGGTTTTCCTTTTCACTAATTCAGGCAGTATAGATTTTACTTTCATTCTATAATACGCACAAAAAACCCCAAAAGATTCCATTTAAATGTTTATTTGTTTGATTACCAGTGTTAAGATGGAAATAATGTTAATGTCTCCTTACATAAAGAAATAAGTGTTCTTTTCCCCCTTTTATTCCATCTCCCCTCTCTGCTCTTATGCTATTGATATAATATAGTATTTTATTGCCAGCTTCTTATTATTAATTAATTTTAACATGTATTACAACTTTAAGAAATTCATATTATATAGATTTATAGTGATTTTTATAACAATTATTTAAACAGGTATATGTTTTACTAGTTTTAGAACTTACTGCCAGCACTTTCATACCAGAGATTCTTCATTCTTTTAATGTAGCTCTTTGCACAATGATTTCTATCTTCTCTTTACTGAGGAGACATGAGAATGTCTTTTTGTTTTCTTCACAAATGAATGAATATTTGATTAAAGATAAAATTCTTAGGCTGCATGGTTTGTTCTTGGAATTCTGCAGGCATTTGTGGCTGACTTTGGGAATTTAAAATTTTGAAAGAGGAATTTAAAGAAGGTGTGATTGTGAAAAAATCCTATGTAGGTAATTTAACTTTTAAGCTTGGGTATCACAGGAGTTTGTGTGAAATTTAAGACTTTAATTATTTATTCATATACATGGTAAATATTTACTGAGTGAATGTGTTTGTCATTGTTTCAGGTTTGAAAATTCTATGGCAAAGAAGTCAGAAAGCCCTTCTCTCATGAAGCTTCAGTCTTGGGGGTGTGGAATATAAATGTTAATGTTTTTCAGTTTTCTTGGTATCCTATGAGTTTTATTATCTTCAGCTTTTATTTATTTATTTATTTATTTTTAAGGATTTATTTATTTATTTATGCAAGCACTGGGTACAGTCAGAAGCGTGGGAGGGTGAGAGAATTCACCAGAGCCAGAATGGGGAACAGAACAGGCAGACTGACAAAACACAATGCTGAGCGGAGCAGTGGGCGTGGCAGGAGAGGTCTACGCGCTATGTGGAACCCTCGCCGGTGGCTGGTGGCTGGTGGCTGGGGAATTGAACCGGTGCTGCAGAGGCCGTGGGCAGCCTCGCAGCCCAGTGCTCAACCGCTGCACCACCAGGGGGGGCCATATCTTCAACTCTTAGCTACCTACATATAAGAAAAATTTTCTTTCATTAAATCTCTGATTGCTTTTTTTTGACTCTTCATATTCCACTATATGAAATATCCTGACTTTCGGCATCAGTCTTCTATTTTCTCTTTTTTGATGTCCTTCTCATTCTCTTCTGCTCCTGTGAGTGTGTAGTAAGTGTGTTCTCAACCACACATGACCATCTCTCATCTTCACTATTTCTAACACACTTGTAGTGTTGTTGTTGCACTTTTACTTCCTTTTGGCTTTTGGCCTCATCTGGTTCCCATTTTCTTTTTGACTCTCAACCAGTTTTCTCTTTGCCATCACATTCTTTCATTACCTCATCCATTGGAATCCATTTAAAAAATTTTTTTTACTGAAAGTACAAAACAGATGCTGCCTAATTTTACCTCTCCTTTGTACAATATTTTTTTTTTCCAAA